TTTTTTTCATAATTTTTCAATTTTTATACATTTTTCAACTTTTCATAAATTTATCAATTTTTAATAATTTTTATAAATTTTTAAAATTTTTCATAAATTTTATGTTTTGTCATTTTTTTCATAATTCTTCAATTTTTATAAATTTTATAATTATTTTTTTTAAAATAAAAAATTGTAAAATTATGAACAGTTGAAAAATTTATAAAAATTGAAAAAATTATGAAAAATTGAAAAATTATGAAAAAATTACAAACTTAAAATTTATGAAAATTTGTAAAAATTACGAAAAATTGAAGAATATTTATAAATTTATGAAAAGTTGAAAAATTTATAAATATTGAAAAATTTATGAATAGTTGAAAAATTTATAAAAATTGAAGAATTATTAAAAAAATGACAAAACTTAAAATTTATGAAAATTTTTAAAAATTTATTATAATTGAAAAAATATTAATATTCATAGAAGAATACCTGACAATGTCAAAAATTAAAATAACTGCAAAATCATATTTTAATGTTATGTCTGTACCTTTACATGGTGTTCAATCGAGGACTAAGGAACACTATCCATGCGCGATATTTATTCTGTACGACACATCGCCTTAATTTGGTAATTAGATAAACAAAAACAAAATCTTATTGGTAATATTTCAGGAAGAAATACTAAAAATAAACTTGACCGACTTCATAATATCATATATACGTTAGAAATAAATAACATGACAAGAAGTAGAACAATAGCAAAGAACAAAAAATATACGGTACAATGTGTTTAATTGTTAATACACATTGTTGTTGTTTAATTATTAATTCAATAATTTTCTTATTTTTATGTTTATACTTTCAACAAACTATTATATATGAATATATGTATTTAATAGTATATAGAATTTAATGAAATTATAAGACCTCATTTATAAAAACAATATTATTCAACATGTGCAGAATCTTATTTAAAGAAGGATTGAGTGAGCTACAGTATTTTATATTATATATTGTTTTTAAATTACAAAAAAAAAAATTTAATTTATAATTACACATAATTGAAAAATATTGAACTTTATTTTGACATTTTTAATTTTTATTTAACTAATAATAGATGTATTAGTTCTTATTAACAATAAATGGTGTTTAAGAATTTAAATTAAAGTTCAATGCGTTTAATTTAATTAGGTACTTGATAATGTTATTTTTATTATTCATTATTTAATTACTTACCTACTCCATTTATTATATAATAAATTATTTTTCTGTAATCAATGTTTACAATATATTTTCTTGTTTTTGTATCAAGGGCCGCCAAATAGTTATATCCACTCCTGAGCATGTACTTTTTATTATCAATTTGTTTTAAATAATCTCTTTTAATCTTTCTGGTTTCAATTGTAAGAATTTTATAGTACCTATCTAAGATTTACAAGACAGATCTAATAGATTACTTGTAGGAGAACCAAATTATCATGTTTTTTTATTATCATTATATTGGAAATACAATATCGATTTTAGACTTCTGTGTAAAAACTAAAAAGGGAACAATGAACATTGAGCCAAACTGATATATTATTAAAATATCATTACACGCGAAATAAGGTAATATATCAATAATGCTGAAAAGAATTATCATTATCTATCACTTGAATAAATTATACGTATACTTTTATCAGAAATAACCAACCTATTTTGCTAAGTTCTGTTAAGTTAAAAAGAAGTCGCAGGTAAATAAATTTATAAACAGAATAAAATTAATATCATAGTAAAGTTACACACGCAGTTAAACAATAATCAAATAAAACACTATAGTACTTCTCAGATAGTTGAATATCATTTAAAAATTACAAAAATAATCATTAAGACCAGTGGTTCTCAACCGGTGTGCCGCGAGATCAATTAGGTGTGCCGTGAAAAATGTCTAATATTTGAAAATACCAATTTATGAAACTATGACAGCTAAATGACAATTAATTGTGCAGATAAGACGATACATATACAGGTAAACTGTACGGTTCTTACCCAACTGGATATCTTAGCGCGTAGCTAGGATTTTTAAATAAGGGGGGCTAACCACTTTTTTGGATAAGTAAGGTAAGAGAGGATATGAGAATTCACCCTTAACCCCCCCCCACCATCTACCACCAAGTTTCTAAACGTAATTCAAGCATTTTAGTATAGTTTTAAAAATATTTATTAATATATAATTTATAATAATAATAATAATTTTGGTTTCAGTGTTCAGTCACTTGCTCCACTCTGACAGCTGCATCCTCTTAGGCGAATTTCTGGCAAATTCAGTTATTTCACTTTCATCGAATTGCTCTTTTTTATTTATATTAGCCATATCTAACCCATTCCGTCTGTTTTCCGACATGGTGCTTCTTAAAAAAATTTTTAAACGATTAAGTGCTGAAAACGTTCTTTCCGGAGTGAAAGAGGTAACTGGTAACGTGGCGAATAATTGTAAAAGTATTTTAATGTTAAGTCGAAGATTGGTGCGATGAGAGAGTGAATCAAGAGCAGAATTCGGTTTTGGAATAGTATTTTGACTCCATTGTTGCCTCCATATGAACAGGTCAGCTCTGATTGTAGATGAGGTATCATCATGGAGATCTTGGACATATATTTTAGCAGCTTTTATAATATTTTTATCGTCATACATATTTAAATTGGCCGGAATAAGTCCTTCAAGTGGCATAACATCAATAAGCCTTTGATCAAAACGAGCATCCATTGATTCTATTAAATAGTCAAAATACATTATACATGGTCCACGGGGAGGGGCTATAGCCCCCTTAGCCCCCCCCTTGGCTACGCCACTGCGTGTAGCCAAAGTATTTGTTGTTGGCAAGTGCATGAGTGTGCCACGAAAACTTATAATGTATAATGATGTGCCGTGAACAAAAAAAAGTTGAGAACCATTGATTTAGACGATTAGCAAGTATAATAGTAAGGAATACACAAAAATAAGGCAGAGAAGTTGTAACTCTAAAAAAACACTAAATATGAAGGCACTTAAAAACTCTATAATATGTTCTATTTTTTATAAAGCTATTTATTTATAAAATATATAAAAAACTTAAATATTGCATAACATTAAGTCATTTTTCACATCCTACTTTAACATCACAATACTTATAGTAAAGGACTTAACAGTCTGTCAAAAACACATTGACTCCAAGTTCCAATAAATAACTCTTTAACAAACTGTTAAATTTATTATTAAATAACTGTTAAACTGATAAATTACTGTTTATAGACATTTTAATGTTAAAACCATACACAAAAACAAAAAGTTGACACAAATTACAAATAGATGCACATACACAAATTGCAGGACTAAGATTAAATGACTATAATATTAAATTATTTACGAACATTGACAAAATTTAGTGCAAAGACATTTTTTTATATTGTTTATAGAACTATTAACATCCTATCGGAAAAATTGATGTAAACTTCATGTTGTTTATAAACAAAATTAATCTAACCGCCAATCCTGGAGACATATAACTAGGAAAAACGTTCGTCTGCGAACAGTCGACCACCATATTAAATAATTTAAATTTAAAATTATTTGTAATTTGACAATATATTGGTGGTATATAGATGAAATAATAACATCGGTAAAAGAAGTATTGAAGAAATGACCAATTATTTGAGATGTACATCTTAAAGTATAAAATGCAAGTAATCTGCTCTAAAAACAAAAAAACTCAAAATATGCATTTAAATGCAAAATAAAATTTCAAAATAAGCTTTGTAAAAGTGTGAAACATATTTGCTCCGTATTCTGCTATTTATGTGATTCTGGAAAACAAACATTCAAATGCTATAAAGTCCTTTGCCTTACTCATAAGTAAGAATGTTTTATATGAAAAACATTTAAACAAAACAATTATATATAGACTATAGGAAAATTTAGAACTGAAAAAATTAAGCACAACATTGCTTGTCATATGAGATACTTTATTAATAATTTATTACATTTGTGCCATTAAATACCAAAGTACAGCAAATCAAAATAATACTTAGGATTTCTTTATGAAAAAAATTAGTAATAAATAGGTGACTAACAATCTTAGGTTAGATTTCCAAGGACACACATATTTTATATTTTTATCTTATAATTCTTTTAAAACTTAATTATTATAAAAAACAGTTTAGGTTGAACTTTTTTTTTTTAAATCTTGCTTTTTGTTTTTAATTACTTAATAAGTTGTACAAGAACAAATATCTAAAGAAAGTAATATAATAAATCAAATATATGATTCGGTATGAGCCAATAATGTTTATACCTAGAATATTTCATAAGTAATTTATTGATATAATTAATTTTTAGAAATATTTTAATTTGATAGGTAAGATGATTCTACAATAAAGCTTGCAATATAAATTAACAAAATTTTAATTTAATTGGTAGCATTTTGCATCTGTGTGTTCTTTATTCTAAATATATTATGTGTAAGATATACATTTGCTCCTGTATCATTTGCATAGCTTGTTTATATTATAAATTAGAACATTAAGAAAATCGATTATGAATATAGTATAAAGCATTTTTTTTTATACATATAAATATATTTTTTGTAATAATTTTAACCAAATGTTATAGATTAAGACAATATAAAATCCATTATTGTTTGATCGTAAGAAAATTATATATCTGCAAATCCGTGGTAGGACTTTAAGGTTGAAGCCATAATATAAAAATTATTTGAACTTCAAAAGATTTTCCTTTAATTTATCCTTGTTAGCACCAGAAAACCGAATGACCTCTAAAAACAATCAAGATGCATTAAATAAAGATAAATATAAATTGATAAAATATAACAAATAATAAAAATATTACCTCTTTTTTCGCTTTTAGGAAAACAAAAGTGGGCATAGATTGGATGTTATATTCAATTGCAGCTTCTTCACATTCATCAACATCAACTTTTAACATTACTACATCTGGGTACTCATTAGCCAACTCCTATAAATTTAAAGACACATTTATAAATAATTAAATAATTCTTAATCTTATGAAAGATAGTTATTATTTATTAAAAATTTTATAAATAGTAAAAATGTAGAAAAATTATATTACATTAATTATGAAATTAATAGATAAAAATAAATCATGAATTTTACTATAACAATGTGATTATTTTATGAGCATAAATAAAAATGTAAAGTTTAAAAAATCAGGTTTTTATACCTTAAAAAAATCCAAGTAACCCATGATTCATTAATTAAATTAATTAAACATTTAAAAATAAGAATGTATTAATTTTTGAATAAAATTAGTAAATTCTATCAACTCGTAAAGATTCATAACCTTATTTAATATTAGATTACCTCAATGAATGGACCCATTAACTTGCATGGACCGCACCATTTAGCAAAAAAGTCAATGATGACCAATTTGTCTTTAGCATCAGTTAATTTAGTTGCCAAATCGGCCTGAAAATAAAAACATACATATTATTCAATATAATAAATAGTAATAAAATTCAAATAAAAAAAGTATGGGATACTCGGCTAGTAGTTACCAGTAGTTAGGTTAACTAACCATACAAAGTATAAAAAAAGGGTTATCGTTTATAAATGAATCAAGTTATTCAATTTTATGCTATCTATTTAACTAATACACATATAATATAAATTACACAATACTATTAAATATATTTATTTTTTTATTTATATAGAACAATTTGTTGGAAAAAATTATCAAATAACAGTAAATATTTATAAATTGAAAATGCCAAACAGTCATATAATTACAAATATATAGTTCTCTATCAAGATTTACCCAGAGCAAAATCTACCATGTTCATAAAATATCATTGTTCAACTGATTTAATGTCAAGATCCCCAAAGTTAATAAAATAAAGTCAATTACCTCATCACCACCTAATAAAAAAAAACTAATTTTAGCTTAATTATCTGTTTCTCCAGTTACAAAACAATTTTATCATTAATAAAGTTAGTTTACTTGAGTGATAAATTTTCACATTTAATGTGTTTTAAATATAAATTTTCAAAATTTTGAATAGAACGTTCTGCATTCAGACTTTGTTAATGATTTTACAAAAAACTAAATATCTGGATCAATCGCATTGAAAAATATTGATTTGAATAGAACATACCGCTAACAGACTTAGTTAAAGAATTTATCAAAAACTAGGTATCTGGATCAACCACATTGAAAAACGTTATTCTGAATATAACATTCTACTAATAGACATAGTTAATGATTTATTATCACACTAGTAAAAATGTTTGATGTCCAGCAAAGGAGACACGGGTCAGCTTGTAATGTATAATAATCCACTGGGCCGCAAAGCCACATAGACTAGAACTCAAACCCGCATTAAAATTATTGATTGTGTTATTATTTATTGGTTATTGACTCTATTACTGTTAATAATTTGTTAATATGAAAAAAAAATGGGGGAATATCAACTCATGTTAACAATGCTGAACAATGCAAGATTTAAAAAACAAACAATATTATATACCTATTGTAAAAATAACTGATGGAGATATATGGACATATATTATTTACCAGTATTTCCTTAAAATAATAATTATGTTAAATTAATTAATTATATAATTATATGAAAATTAATGAATTAAATTTTACATATAAATCATGGAATATTAAAATAATTGCACTTATATACATTTTCTATGAGGTATTTCATATTTAATTATTACAACTAATATCAAAAAAATTTAAATAAATACTAAATTTAATAAAAATGTACAATTAACTCAATAATAAGTAATTAAGTTACGTTTAATTATTCCATTACCATGGTAATGTTTTGTAAAACAAATGTTGCAACAACATGATTTGAATTTATAAAATTATCATCTCAATGTTAATTTAAGTATTGAAAATAACTTGTATAACAAGATTATCTTTAAAGATATGCCTTACTGTAACAAATAAAAGCCAAAAAAAGATAAATATAGACTTGAAAGGTACAATTTATAAGGTTAAGTCATAATAATTATCATGAACAAATGTTTTATTTCCATTTAAATCATAGCTTAGCAACATAAGTTGTTCTCACAACATTTTATACCTCAAGGAATAATTCAACTTTAAGCTAGAGGACTAGAATATCTGGTATATGAATAAAATAATGGATTCTACATACAATATGTCAAATAATATAATTATATGATGTAATATTCAATATTTCAATACTTATGACCACTTTTCAGGAATATAAATGATAAATCCAGATTACATAATAATTAATTCAAAAGTTGATATTTTAATATCAATTCAAATTAATTCGCTATCACTAATAGTGTGATACGTGTTTTTATCGTACTTTCTAGAAAATACTCTTTAGCTTTAGTTATATTTTATTGATTCCATAGACTGCGATTTTTCTCGAAAACGAGTTCATCAAATTAACCCGCGGACTGCTGTACACAATTGTCCCTACTGAGAAACCATAGATAAGGGAATACCCACTTACTCAACCAACACACCGCACGCACACACAAACATTCGTAATACACACATACAAGGATATGTGCAAATTAAAAACTCCAATTACTACTACGGCTAGACGATCGAGGATACATTGAATAAAACGCCCTCCACCTCACCCAGAGGGGTCCTCTCGTAGGCGGTGGCAACGAGATCGAGCTTGAGCATTCGAAACGTGTGCATTACGTAACGACGATAACTACGACACGACCTTGTTCGTCACTCGCGCAATGCGCGCAAAACGAAAGTTAGCCGTCGCACGACCAAACAGTTCGTACGAGAACAAAGGAAACAGATATGAAAATCGGAACGAAATCGTACGATGATATGGTAATGCGTAGTCAAAATAGAACTTACGGCATCGCTGACGAGTTGAACCATGTTGAATCGGACGTGATTGACGGAACTTGACGACGACGACGGCAGCGACACGAGAGAGACAAGTGGCACGGACGAACGGGTCTGACAAAGTGAAGCGCGAACGCCGCGGCGGCGTTGGTCGATTCGAATATAGTTTATGGTGCGCGACGTTGGCAGCGCGCGATACACGCGGAACAATCATGGCGGAGACCCGCAGTGCAGCCAAAACGTCCGGTTTGATTTCCCCTGTTCGCGTAATATTATTACGATAGCGCTCCCGAAAATATGCGGCACGTGAATCACATCCGAACACGAATTGGTTGGCGGCTGGGTAGAGGGCTCGGAGGTACTTTAGGTTCGACGTTTGAATAGTTCGTAGTGATTTGACATTGATTTTGATCATTGAAATCGTTTAATAGACTGATCCGTAATCAATTATAATATCATCTAATAATAATAATATCATGATTGTTATAATAAATATAAATCAATATAAAAATAAATATAAAATATGCGATAAATTGCATTACATGATTCAGGAAGTATAAATAAATGTATGAAAATATTATTTTATTTTATATTTTATAATATATTATATTTTATTACTTAATCAAATATTTTTTTATGAAAATAAATATTTATAACTCTAAAGCAGCGGTTCCTAATTTGGGGTAATTACCCCCCCCCTCCTACCCAAGTGGTAAAATAGGATTTTTTCGAGGGATAAAGACTGGAATAATTTTTTTTTTTATGTACTTTATGTATTACTCTGTAGTAATGGATGAAATTACGAAAGACATACAAGGCAAGATACAATGGTGTATGCTGATGGTACACTTTAGGTACGTAAAAATCTGGAAGAAGTTATTTATAGGTTGGATGAGTGGAGGTTAGCCCTTGAAGGAAAGGGTTTGAGAATTAGTAGAAATAAAATAGAAAATATAGAGTAAGACTTTGGAGGAAGATACCAAGACGTTATGTATAAAGAAGGAATGAGGAGACCAATAACATTAAATGGTTATGTGATAGTTAAAGTCAATAACTTTAAATATTTTGGATCATTTATACAAAAGGACGGGGGTAGTGGAATGGATGTAGAACACAGGATCAAATGCGGTTGGATGAAATGATGAGAAGCGTCGGGCGTTTTAGACAATAATAGAATTTCAATGAGGCTAAAAGGTAAATTGTACAGGAGTGTAGTAATATCAACTATGCTATATGGTTCAGTGTTGAGCGGTTGAAAGGAAAATACAACAGAATAGGAAAAGGCTTATATGGATAAGTGGAGTGACAATAGAAAATAGAATTAGCAACAAATATGTAAGAGGTAGTATTAATGTAGTGTCTATAGTGGACAAGATGAGATAAAACAGACTGAGATGGTTTGGGCATGTGATGAGACGAGAGTAAACAAATGTAATAAGAGATGTTATGATATTGAACGTCGAAGAGAAAAGATGAATAGGAAAACTAAAAAAGTGATGGTTGGATACGATTGAGAATGATATAAGGACCATTGGTCTGTGCGTAGAAATGTATGAAAATTAATTTTCGTTTCATCATCATGAAGATATTTTTAAAATAAATTTAAAAACCACGTTTGTATTAGATCACTGTTGCAAGCACTATGATAGAATATCAGTCAACGCAATTTGATCGGAACAAACAAAAACGACTGCATCGAGACGCATGCAGAGAAAACAGATGAATTTTGTGTCTAGACGTAGAAAAGTTCTGTATTTTTACGTTGTAAGGAAAACATACCTTAATTAAGTTCCTTAGTTATCATTAAACTGTATTAATCCACACAGTTAAAACCTTTTTTGATATACAATTTTAACATACATTTTATATTTGTATTAAAGCTCATGCTTAGGTTAGTTACAACTTTTATTATTACCAATATGATTAAAAAAAAATACATTTAATTAATTGTTAATCGAATAAAAATTAGCTAAGTAGATAAAAAAAAATTAGTTGAATAAAAAAATTCGTCAAATAATGTAAATTAGTTGAATAAAAATTAGTCCGATTATAAAATGTAAGGAACAGAAATTGATCGAATAAAATATTATTGGAATGACTAATCATACCATGTAGAGTGACTAAATTAGTCATACAGTACTACCGTCTAAGTCGGTAAAAATTAGTCACTTCTATCCATCATTATCCATCATTATTCATAAACTTAAGAACGCCCTTATATAAACAGTACCTGAGACCAGAACACCCACTTCACCCCATCCTAGATCCGGCACTGCCTATCAATTTATCTGTCTAACTTAATTAAAAAATTTCTATTTCAATCAAAATTTGACAAAAAATCGACAAACCGATCGTTTCGTGTACGAAGGACTTAAATTATAAATTAATTAATCTATGTTCTTATTTATTACTAGGCAGTTACACTTAAATAATGATATATGCTGGGCAGCGGCATAGCCAAGATATTTTTTTGGGAGGAGCTGATCAATTTTTTCAAGACTTTTGTAGCGACTTTTATGGATCATTCAAATAATTTTTAAATTTTCTTAATATTTTTAATATTTTGGGGGGGGGCTGCAGCAGAGATAGGCTAAAAGGCTTATAGCTTAGAACGGCTATTTTTTTTATAGAATTAAGTGTTATTATTGACCTATTAGGTATATTTATTTTAATATATTTTTTTTATATAAACACGAGTAAAAAAAATTTTAAAAAGATATAATAATATATTAATATATACATTGTATGATACGTACCTATAGGCTATTGTAAGAATATTAAAATTATTATTACAATTTGAAAATATTTCATTTGTAATAAAATAATTACAGTTACTTACTAGTTATTATTAATAACTTATTAGTACCTATGTACTTATTGGGAACATCCGACTATCCGAGTATAGGTATTTTCATATCTGACTGTTTATATTTCCGTTATGTGACTGTATAAGCATTGTTTATTTGTATACATATTTGTAATAACATAAATATAGTGACGTCAAAATACAAACTAAAGGCTATACTTTTAGGCACCACTGATCACGAGGGAGAACTGACACTAAAAGGTACGGTATTGTAAGGATAATAGTAAAAAATCCTTCATAGATGCCACTGAATACGGAAGGTTACGGTTACATCACTTATGTGTGGATCGACCTTTAGTGGAACTGGTGCTGTGACTTAAAAATAGAGTACAATAAAATTGTAGACTATATATGTAAATTTAATAGGTGTCTCTAATTTGAGACTCTACCATGGTTTTATTTTAATATTTTACAATATTTCAATGTACTTTTCTTATTCTAATGTTCTTATACTGTTAACTAGCGATGGACATAAGTGACTAATTCCTACTTACTTAATCGGTAACACCGTGTGACTAATTTAGTTACTCTACGTGGTATAATTAGTCATTTGACTAATATTGTATTCGACTAATTTTTATTTATTCAATTTTATTATTTGACTAATTTTACTTCGACTAATTTTTATTCAACCCACTTATATTATTTGACTAATTTTATTATTCCACTAGTTTTTATTGTCTACTTGGCTAATTTTTATTCGATTAAAAACAAATACAAATTTTATAAAAAAGACATTTTTTTTTTGCCTAAGGTTGGTAATAATAAAAATTGTAACTAATTTTAGCATGAATTTTATTAAAAAATGTAAAACATATATTACACAATAAAATTATATATCAAAAACTTAAATTTAGCAGAATTCAGTCGAATTAGTCGATATTAGTCGTACTACGCGATGAAAATCGACTAATATTCGATAGTAACAAATAGTTCCTTCTGTCCATCATTACCGTTAACTATAATGATATACTTATAGAAGTTAACGTTTATTTTATCTTTTACATATAATATTGTAAAATAAGATTAGATATATTTATTTATTTTATATATATATATATATATTAATTACTACATTATATATTCATAGAATTATAGTTAATGTATGCTGTAGAGCTTATAACCATAAAAGGAGATAATACTGTCATCTGTAAACCACTTCCTGTTGATAATTATTATTTTAGTAAATCAGTTGTTATTTGATATTGTCCGTCTATTGAGTTATTCTGACATTTATTTTATTTATTTTGTGCTTTTAACTTATAAACGGTATAATGTTGTTTACATGATATTTAATTTCAAGAAAATAGTCAATATATAAATATCATTTATGAATGACATCACTAAAAGCATATCAACGATCACCATGGTGCACATATTAATATGGTATATTTATAATTATACAAAATGTAAATACTTGATAATGAATTTTTAATTTTAAATCGGTTGTACATTAAAAATATAACAATACCTACTCCAGGCTGATTATTTATTTATTTATTTATATATTAATTTACGTATATTAACATTAAGACACTTTTATTTTATTTTTCAATATTGTAATATTTAAGAAAATATAGAGATGCAAATGTTACCATAACAAGAAATGCAAGTGATGTCTGCATTGTTTTTATAAAATAATAATTGAAGAAAAAAATCATGACCATAACTAAATTCTGCAAAAATTATTAAATATATTTTTATAAAATAAAAGTGATTATATCAGATCATTATAATAGATTATATCAGTATGAAAATATACAACCTAAAACTATTTTAAATAATATTTTTTTTTGTATAGGTACCTGATGAAAATACATCAATACATCATAATGAATTCAAAATATACAACTAATTGTTTTGGTTTTTATAATACATACAAATTTAGTACATTAATATATTAATTCATTTATTGGCAATCTAATTGTCACTACTTCCTAAATGTAATGAGAAATGTAATAATAGTACTTGTGAATTCAATATTGGCTATTAAAAAAAAATAATAAAAAAAATTATATAACTATTTTAATCGAAAATATGAAACTCCCGATTTATTGAATATTTTTATAGAAGTTAGTTTTATTTTGTTGGTAAAATATTGAATATGAAGTATATTGAAAATATTATAAAAATGTAAATTTAGGTTAAATAATTAACCAATAATAATATTATTTTTTTTTTTTAAGTAGGAAAAATAAATTACTGAAAAAATATTTTAAAGTGATTATAGTTATATGTAGAATCGTAAAAAAACGTATAAAATATTTACCTTATGTAAAT